CATTGATATGCACCAATCCAAGAGCATAGTGTGAGATTTTTATGGAGTAATTCAACAGAATTCAACATAAGATTTTGCAATTTGTTAGTTTCAATAGGATAATTGTTTTTTTGTGTGTAAATGTTGCAGCTCCTTTCAGATTATGATGCAGTGGCTTCTGGTGCACCTTAGCATGTTGAAGAATTTGTGTGGGAGAAAGCTGAAGCAACTACAGTTAAGACAAAGATGTCTCAATAGCATGTAGAATGCCAAATTTACTTTTCCTGCACAATTATCGTCGACGTGCCAGGTTACCAGTTGTGCTACAGGTCACTACCACTACCGGAAACAGTCGCTTTGTCGTGTGCCACAGGCACTCGGCAAAGCCCAAAAAACACTCGGTAAAGGATTTGTCGAGTGTAACACTCGACAAACAGCACACGACATCTACAGTGCTGACAAACGGCTCTTTGCCGAGTGTTTCTATCGGGCACTCGACAAAGACTTTGCCGAGAGCTGAAACCAACACTCGGCGAAAAAAAGTAACGTGACGGAGTGAAAACGGTCACGACGCGTTTGTCGAGTGTCAAATCTCAGGCACTCGGCAAACCTTCTATATTATGACCCTCGGATACCAAGGTAATGAATTTTGATTATGGATCGAATGCTGTTAACTAGATTTTGTATATGCTTGGTAAAAGAATTGTTGGGGCAGTACAAAAGGCACAATCCAAATTATTCCATGGATTAACTAAACTTCAGTTAAATTTTTAGCAGATGCAGAGATAGTAAAATAAGAGTTTATGTCTAATATTTTAGGCTCTATGCTATCACTTAGAAAAAAAATTATGTTGTCTCATAGGACAAAAATATATTCTATGATAAAAAAACTATGCATGTGCATGTTTAATACTTAGGTGTACTACATGATGGAGTTAACATATCGGTTACAACAGTTCATATAGTATTGTCCATAATTTGGAGGGTATTAAATTTAGACTGGGTGCATAGTAGGCCACCTAGCTTTATTCTTGCAACTTCTACCTCTTTATGTGTTAGTCTTTGCCAATGGTATAATTTGTTCGTAAAGTTTAAGTAAGATAATTGACAAAGATCAAGTAAGACGATTTAATGAGGTTGGCCCTTAATTTTAGTGTTTCCAGCATGCAGACCTGAAATTAAAAAGTGGCTGCTCCTTTAGAACATCAATGGTGCCAAATAAAAGATGTGCAGGTTATACATGGTGAGACTAGTGAACCTTCTGTAATTTCCAAAACGAATATTTCCACTATTAGTATATAGGTCCATTCCCCTGCGTTTCTTCGTGCTCCTATTAGCATATAATATGAAAGTATTGTTGTGTTCATCACGACTTCCAGTTGACTACTCACATTAGCATATACTTTCTCTGCCCCAAAATATAAGTTGTTATGGGATGCGTGCAGATCAAACTTTCTCAACTTTGACTAGGTTTGTAAAAAATACGTGCAACATTTATATCTCCAAATAAGTTTATTATAAAAATATATTCAATGTTCTATGTAATGATACTAATTATGTATTATAAATATTAATATTCTTTTATATATAATTGGTCGAAGTTAAAAAAAAGTTAATTTTTCGGGAAGTGAGAATGAATTCTATTTTGGGACAGAGGGAGTATATGAAAGCAGTGTTGAAAATATTTTAACAATAAAGTTCGTCTCTGTCTGATTGGTAAGCTTAGACATCAAAATGGCATAAAAAATTTCGACTCTCATGGACACCCTCATGGATCAGTGCAAAGCATCCCAATCCTACAATATACACAAATGACAACCTTAAAGTTATGATATTTTTAAAGGATGGACAATAAAAACCATCTTAGATGTTCTGGCATTAGAGTATATACGTACAGACACATAGGCATGGTGGTGCAAGTGAGCAGCTAGCAGGAGTCAAGAGTCAGGGGGTGTTTGGATCCCATGATCAAACTTTAGTCCCTGTCACATTGAATTTTTAGATATCAATTAGGAGGATTAAACATGAGCTAATTATAAAACTAATTACATAAGATGTGGCTAATTCGCTTGCCAGCGCCGTATACAGGATGGTATGGAGATGTGGTGGAACTTATTCGTGGATTTATTGGCATACGAAAGAAACGGATATCGGAAATCTCTTCCTGCCGGTATAAAAAATAATTTTAGCCGCATCACGGAAAGATCTACACAGTAGAGTTTGTGAGCCTGCGACGTCATGCTCTCTGTGACTGTGTAAATTTTACGAACTTAGCTTTTTGATTAAATGTCACTTTAACGTCGGTCATATATTTTTACAATATTGTTATCTTATCGTGCGATCCGTGTGTTTTTAGTACAAAAGTTTAGTTGTCCCGTACCAACGTATGGGCATGAACCTATTTGCATATACACTCGAACCTATATGTACATGATTATATGGAGATATAACAGAACTTATTCATGAATTTATTGGCGCATGAAAAAAATGAATATCGTAGAATTCTTTTTGCCGATATAAAATATTATCTTAGCCGTATCATGAAAAAGTCTATACAATAGAGTTTGTGAGCCTACGACGTCGCGCTCTCCGTGACTGTGTTAATTTCACGAACTTTGCTTTTTTAATTAAATATCACTTTGACGTCGATATTTAATTTAACAGTATTGTTATCTTATCGTGCTATCTGTAGTTTTTAGTAAAAAAAATTTAGTTATCCCGTAACAGCGTACGAACACGCTACCCAGTAACACACTAAAAGAGAAACAACTGAGGCAAAAAAGACATACGTAACCCGAAGACTACTACTCAAACGCCAGGAAAGCCAAAGACGAGAAGATAAAAACTACTCAAATGTAGAAGCCGAAACTTCCTCCATAGATCAACATCCAAGGTGGACGTTCATATGCCTGACCCAGCAGAACTCATACCATACATAGTTTTACTTCTTTCAAATATCTCCTTGCAATGCAAGGTGGGCGTGTATTTATTCCCAACGGTAGCATGCAAGACATTTTTACCATCATTGGTCACATTTGTTGCTCGAGATGATAGAAGGCACAACTTCAATCTTTGTGGGTCTCTGCCTTCCTATTTACTACTTCCACCATTTCTATAAGTCATTCTAGCTTTCTTAGAGAGTTAAAATATCTCAAGTTTGAGGGCCTGCTTGATTAACATCCAAAATTTGCCATGCCAAAGATTTGGAAAGCCAAAAATTGAGCAAAAACATTGCCATAGATTTGGCAAGCTAAATGTGAGAGTTTGACAAGTTTTGGTAGCAAATCAAATACTAGCCAAAATCATCATGGCTTACCAAATCATTGGCATGACAAATTTTGAAAGCGAACCAATCAGGCCCTGACTCTCCAAAAAGTTAAGAATGTATAATTTGGGATGGAGGGAGTACACCTGAAGCCTCCGCGTTGGGTTGCATTGTAACTTTTTTAACCAAACTCTCTTAGAGCATCTCCGGGGATACCCTATTTCGCTTTCCAATCCTTGGTCTTTGGCAACATAGGAAAAAAAATCCCTCTCTAACAACTTATATTCCTTCTAAAATTTACGTATTTGGGAAATCCTCCCCCGTCACGCTTAACTTTGCGCGGAGTCGTGGTCGCGTGGATACACCTGTATTCTTCGGCCAATTAAAGGTGTTAGTGCAGAAAAAGAATAAAGAGCTTGAAAGGGTTCCAGATGCAAATATACAAGAGAGAAAGAATATATAAAATTGGTTAAAATAATTTAGAAATAATATATGATTTCTGATGTAAAATTGTCTTCTATATTTTAGGAATGAGTTATTAAAAACTATTAGAGATGGTCTTTTTTTCTCCTAATAGATTTTTAGGAGTTGGAAAACATGCGCCATGTTCGTTTGAGCTTGTTTGGCTTATAAATCGTATTTTTTCAGCTAACGAATAATATTTTTCTCTCACACCAAATCAGCCAACTGTACTTTCAACCATGACTTATCAGCCAAACAAACCTAAACGAACAGGGCGTGGAGTCTTTGAAGGAAAATTTAGGATACTCGCATTCAAAGTCGCGATCAGATGTCGTACTCTAGTCTAATCGCTTAGTTCCACGCCATTAAATCTGCATGCGCAAGTGCTGGGCGGCCGGGCCAGGAATATTCGGCCTGTTCGCTGGGTCGTATTTAACTTATAAGACATGATTTATCAGCCATTGAATAGTATTTTTTCTCACATCAAACCAACCAATGATACTTTTAGTTATGGCTTATAAGCGAAACAAGCCCCCAACAAATTGGGCGATTCTGGACGCTTTGCGTGACTTAGTTTGCACGCAGCCATACAGAAAGGAGATAGAGCGACGATAGCGCTGGGTTCGAAGCAGCAAATCGGATGGAGCACAGACACGACCCCGTCTAACTCGGAGTTTATCTCCACTTTGGTCTGTGTACCAAAATCAAACGCGACACCTGATAAAAAACGGAGGAAGTATAGTTAAATAGTTCGTGAGCTTCATGTTTTAGTGCGAAAAAAAAAGCAAGTTCGTCACGGGTGATGTCCGTTTCAATGTCGGGCGTGGGTTCCAGCCTCCAGGTCGCGATTGCCGGCCAGGCGCATCGGCGGTCCTTTGAACACCACGATGCCCGGAGCAGATACCGTGCTACATCATTTTGCCCGTTTCCTCAATGACGCGGCGCGGCAGGGCTTATTGGCCAATAGTTGACGCCGAATAAGATCCGATCGACAAGGGCTAGGAACCCAATTCCATGTTGATACATTTTTGCGCGTCAACACCAGTGATATTGACCGAGCGAGCGATTTTTTGTACGTTGGTCTCTTGGCCGCAACGAACCGCTGTTGGATGATTGCTGTACTGCTGGAGTATATAAACAGGTTACCTCCGGAGAATCAAGAAACCCAAAACTGTGCTCTTATAGCTACGTAGATTTTCCTGTGGAGGACTTTGATCGATTTTGTTTGGTCCTGCGCCTGAATCCTGGTCCTACCGTACCATCTGTGCGCAGCTCGCTCGCTCAGACGACGGTCATGGGTTCGACGGGGCCTGAGGGAGTGGAGATGCCGCCGCACGTAGTGTGCGTGCCGTACCCGGCGCAGGGCCACGTCACTCCGATGCTCAAGCTCGCGAAGCTGCTCCACGCCCGGGGCTTCCATGTCACCATGGTCAACACCGAGTTCAACCACCGCCGCCTGCTCCAGTCGCGTGGCCCCGAAGCGCTCGACGGCATCCCCAGGTTCCGCTACGCCGCCATCCCCGACGGGCTCCCGCCCTCCGACGCCAACTCCACACAGGACGTCCCCGCGCTCTGCTACTCCACCATGACCACCTGCCTCCCGCGCCTCTTGTCCCTCCTCAGGAAGCTCAACGACGACCCTGGCGTGCCACCCGTCACCTGCCTCATCGTGGACGGCGTCATGTCGTTCGCCTACGACGCGGCGAAAGAGCTGGGCGTGCCGTGCGCCGCGCTCTGGACCGCCAGCGCGTGCGGCCTCGCGGGGTACCGGCACTACCAGCAGCTCGTCCAGTGGGGCCTCGTCCCTTTCAGGGACGACGCGCAGCTCGCGGACGACGCGTACCTCGACACCGTGGTCCGGGGCGCGCGCGGCATGTGCGATGGCGTGCGCCTGCGCGACTTCCCCACCTTCATCCGCACCACGGACCGCGGCGACATCATGCTCAACTTCTTCATCCACGAGGCCGAGCGGCTGTCGCTCCCGGACGCCATCATGATCAACACCTTCGACGACCTCGAGGCGCCGACGCTCGACGCCCTGCGCGCGACGCTCCCTCCGATGTACACTGTTGGTCCGCTGCTCCTCCACGCGCGCGCGCCGTCACGGAGGGCAGCCAGCTCGATGCCCTCGGTTCCAACCTCTGGGAGGAGCAGGGTGGCCTCCTCGAGTGGCTAGACGGCCAGGCGGCGGGCTCCGTTGTGTACGTCAACTACGGAAGCATCACCGTGATGTCGAACGAGCAGCTACTGGAGTTCGCGTGGGGGCTAGCTGGCAGCGGCTACGCGTTCATGTGGAACATCCGGCCAGACCTTGTGAAGGGTGACACCGCCGTGCTGCCGCCGGAGTTCTTGTCCTCCGTGAAGGACCGGGCCATGCTAACGACATGGTGCCCGCAGGAAGCTGTGCTGGCGCATGAGGCGGTGGGGCTGTTCCTCACGCACTCCGGGTGGAACTCGACTCTAGAGAGCATCAGCGCGGGGGTGCCGATGCTCAGCTGGCCCTTCTTCGCGGAGCAGCAGACCAACTGCCGGTACGTGCGTACAGAGTGGGGCGTCGGGATGGAGATCGGTGGCGAGGTGAGACGCGCAGAGCTGGCAGAGATGATAAGAGAGGCCATGGGCGGGGACAAGGGGAAGGAGATGCACCGGCGTGCCGCGGACTGGAAGGAGAAGGCCATTCGAGCGACAATGTTGGGTGGGTCTGCGGAAACCAATCTGGACATTATTGTCAATGAGGTGCTGCTCCGCAACCGCAAGTCCACAACATAGGTGGACTCTGCAGTGGAGCCTAAGAAATCATAGAAATGGGGTACGCCCAGTCGTCTATTTAGATTGGATCTTAGTCAGGACTCGAGAACCATCATATGGATTTCTGAACATTCAAGGCTATGTTTGGTCGTGTTTCTTGATTTGTGAGCAAATATTTACAATGGACAGTTCAGAAAAAAAAAACTCTCGGGACTCACATAAAGGTTCTTGAACTGTCACTAAGATTAGCTGTGCTTTCAAGCTTACTACCTCTGTATATGAGCGTTGATGTAGAGCCAAACAAATAACCACAGGCTTAGTAGAGCGAGTTTGGTAAGGATTCGACTCCTAAAGTAGTTTCGGCTGGCTGGATATCGAGCCAGCTGGCTCGTTATGGCTCGGCTCGTTGTTAAGTTGGCTCGGCTCGGCTCGTTACACTCTTGAGCTGGCTCATTTGGCTTGCGAACAAACTTAAATTTTTCCTTCCTGTTGAGGTTATTCATCCAGCCGGCGCCAGGCGATTTACGCGTGTGCCGCGTGCGGCGGCTCAGGAGGGGAACAACTAAGCATGCATGCGTACGGCTACGCCTGCGCGGAACTACGGATGGGGAAAGTCTAGGGCCTAGGGGTGGGAGCGTGGGAGTTGAGGGCTAGGGTTTTATCATATTGGAGCAATGGGCCATGGTATGGGCTGATTCAAGTTACTGTCATTTGATTTACCTTGGCTCGTTTAGGCTCGCGAGCTGGATCGAACTGGCTTGTTAATTAACCGAGCTAAAGTGTTGGCTTAGCTCATTTAAAAATTCAAACGAGCCGAGCTCGAGTCAAGCCACTAACGAGCGAGTCGAGCGAGTTACGAGTTTTTCGTCTAGGCCTACTCTAGCTCCTACAGTCGTTTTGAAGCACTATAAAAAAAATTGGCAAAATCTTTCGGTTTGGTGTTTTTTTTTATCCCGGCTGAAGCGCTTAGTTGAGTAGTTGATTTGTACTAACCCCCATGTTTTGTTTTTTCCCGTCTAATAAAAATTACAACGAAGCTCTTGCTGTCCTTTTAAAAAAAACAGTATTTTCTAAGAGTAGGGTTCGGTAGAAGCTAAAAAATTTAGCTTCAATTTCTCAGTGGATTCAAGGGACAAACCATTTTTTTATACCTCTTTAGTAGGGTTTATTGAGAAGTCAAACTCGAAGCTTTTTTAAGCCCTACAAAGGAGTCTTTAGTGCTTACACTAAATTTTTAGATAATTGAATAACTTCTGGCTTCAAACTTCTTTATAGAACAGACATCAAATCACAACTATTACAAATATAACCCAAGTTCCCAATGCGCGGAGCTTGAGCTTAAATCAAGAGGGGGCCAATTCCATATGCTCATGCTAGAATATTTTTTTAATTTTAACACTTTTTGAAAACTAATTTTAAATCTAACACTGTCTGTTTTTTTAAAACTAACATTTTTTGCCGCGCCTATTTCTCTATTCTTAAGGCATTGTACTGAATGATGTAGAAGCTCATACACAATGTCATAAAAAATGAGCTCTACATGCACAAGCACTTCATGTCATTTTTCATCTTACTTGTTGGCTTCTCTTGCTCATGGAAAAGCGCGATCTGGAAGGTAGTAAGAACTAGCTAGGTGTAGCATGAGAATTTTTTTTATTTTAACACTTTTTGAAAACTAATTTAAGAACTAACACTGTCTGTTTTTTTTTCAAAACTAACACTTTTGACCGCGCCTATTGTCATGGCGCGGTCAAAAGCTTGTGCCGCACCATGCATGGTGGCGCGGTAGGGGGCTGACGTGGCGACGACCGGAAAGGTTGACGGTTGACGTGGCGGGCTGCCGCGCCATCCATCTTGCCGCGACAGATCTTGAACCACGGAGCATGGCGGCGAGGGCTAGATAAATATCGCGACCGAGCCCGCCCGCCAGCCGCCGCCACGCCATCTCGCATCCCGCCGCCCGCTGATGCCGCCCGCGCCAGCGGCGGGGACCACCTACCGCCGCCCGTCGGCCTGCCGTCCGCCCATACGCCACGCCAGCGCCTCGCCCATCTCTCCGCCAGTGCAGCGCCCGCCATTTAACGCCCGGCGTCGAGGCCGCCCGCTCCTACCAAGGTATCTCCCTCTCGATTTCATGCTATTTTGATTATTATTAATTTAGGATAATTAGTGATTTAGGATAGTTAGTGATTTAGGATAGTTAGGGTTTTATAATTGTTATTGATTTATGATAGTTAGTGATTTAGGATAGTTAGGTTAGTGAATTTGTTTGTGATTTAGGTAGGTAGTTTTTAGGTTTGAGGTTGTGTGTTGTAGTATAGTTTGGATAGTTAGGTATTTATTATTTAGTTTATAGTTAGTTATTTAGTTATTTAGTTTTTAGGTTTGAGGTTGTGTGTTGTAGTATGAAGTTTCGTCAAATGCTTATATTCGTAGTGAAGTTGTTTAATATGTCTGTTAATGTTACTTTGAATATATACATGTGCTTTCAGATTGTGTTCGTATTGTATAACAAGTAGTTCAAATTTTACAATGCTACATAATGTTAATTTGAATTTTGTTAATTTAAATACTCTAACCCTTTGTTTATCAATTTGTAACAGGATGACCCCTCCCACGCAGCACCCGTTGTACCCCATTCTTGAGGTGGAGTATGACGACTAGTACCGAGCATACATCTTGAGTGACAACGACGTAGAGGTGGCCTTGCCTCCTTTGAGGCCCCGCACGCACACCAGGGCGCACCAGTGGGACGAGCGTTACGCTCCGTACATACGGCGTGCCGGTTTCCTCGAGCTTGTCCGTGTTGTCAACTACGGGTCCTCCGCCCCTTGACCCAGCACTACTTACTGCAGCTATTGACAGGTACGAGTGCCTTATTTGTACGTAAACATTCTTGTAACAAATTTGAGTCAACTAATAGTCGTTCTATTCTTATAACAGGTGGAGGCCTGAGACCCACACGTTCCACCTACCTTGTGGCGAGATGACCTTGACCATGCAGGACGTGAAGGCTATTTTTGGCCTTCGGTTGGGGGGCTTCCAGTGACAGCGATAGTTAACAACGATCACTGGAGGGATCTGGTGGCTCAGTTTCCTGGCTTTCTTCCACCGGACGACGCGGCTTCCAAGAAAAATAAGTGAGAAATTTAAGGCTATTTAATACTTGCATTACTTTCCTGTAGCCATAGGGTCTCATTTTCTTTCGTCAATTTCAGGAAAAGTTCCAGTGTTTCGTCGTCCTGGATCACAGAGCGCTTTGATTACTTGGACCCACAGGTTGAGGAGGCTCAGATCGACAGGTTTGCTCGAGTGTGGCTCTGGCACTTTTTTGGTGCTTTTCTCTTCCCAGACGCCTCGGGCAACACCATCAGCTAGATCTTCCTTGACATACTACGCCAGCCATGGGAGAACATAGCGGCATACAGCTGGGGCAGCGCAGTCCTAGCATGGACGTATCGATAGCTATGCGTTGCCTGCCATCACACCTCAGGGTATGCGAACCTTGGAAGTTGCTCGTACCTACTCCAGGTTTGGTGTTGGGAACGATGGCCCGTTGGGAGGCCCCTTAATACTGGTTTACTAGTAAGTACTTCGGTTCATTATATTCTTCGATATGGTTACATATGATGAGTTTATTAATGGCTAATTTATTATCGTGTTCAATACAACAATGGAACGGGCAGGATACACTCCCTACAGCTCTGTATATCTGGACAGAATCAAAGTTAGTTAGAGGGAATGCGAGGCGCAAGTATAGGGAGTACACGGACGGTCTCGACGTCCTGACATAGCACTAGGTTACGCTCTCTTTACTATCATACCTGTGTCTTGTTCAATATACACTATATCACAGCCTAACTCATTTACGAAATGTTCAGGTGTATTGGTGTCCTTGGGATGCTCCGGAGCTCCAGTATTATCTCAGTCCTGTCACTAGGGACGAGTCAGAGGAGTATCGCTGCAACATCCCTCTTATTTTCTTCCACGTGGTCGAGATTCACTTGCCTATCAGGGTCTGCACACAGTTTGGAAGAATGACAGGCTGCCCACCATCGCTTTACTCCAGCAAACAAGGATTGCACGGGTGCGTTATCGATTAATAACAAAGCTACAATTCAGTGGCGGACCTAGGATCTGAGACCAGGGTAGTCCTGGTAAAAAATTTCATGTGTAATACTATAAAATACAAATAAAAAGTTCAGCAAACATAGCTATAAATTAACAAAATTACGATAATACATTTAAAAGGTTCGAAACTTACATAAATACTCCCTCCATACTGGTAAAGAAAGTCGTTTAGAATATGATTTAGCATACCAAGGAGTGATTAATTAAGGGGTATTTTTTCTGTTTTCCCTTATTAAATAGTGTTGCGGGTATCACCTATCTAACAAACTTTCGTAGCTGGATTGGTAAGCATGCTGCAGCCTGGTTCGATCCCTCTCGGGCGCGTTATTTTTTTGAAAAGCTCGTGGATTTGCGGTGTCTTTGGCCTGGGCTGAGACGAGAGTGACCATGGACCGGTTTCTGAAGAGTAGTAATAGAATTTTAGGCCAAATTTATGGGTAGTCCGTGGCCTACCTATGCTACCTGCTCGGTCCGCCACTGCTACAATTCAGAGGTGTGTGTGGTACAACTAACATCGTTTTGTTGCAGGTATGACCGCAGGAAGAGGTACAAGACCAAGGATTGGCGCGTGGCACACAACGCGCACATCCACTTGTGGGAGACCAGGGAACGGCAGCCGATCCATGCGGGTCCTCCACACGACCAGCACACCTTCGACGAGTACCTGCGGTGGCTTCACAGGTCTAAGAGGACACATATCAAGCCCCCGTACACTGAGGAGGCGATTAACGAGGACTCAGAGAAAGATGTAATCGAAGATGTATACGACGTTGCCACTAGAGAGGGCACACAGCTACAAAGAGCCCCGCTACAAAGATACGTGGTAAGATACTTGAATGGTACAATTTGTTATCCATTTGGTATTAAGTATGTATACTAAAACTGTTCAA